AAAGAACAAATCATTTGACCCAGAATATCCACAGTGCCAATTTATAAACAGAAGTATATGGATAAGACTAGCCAGAAAAATCTTTAAAAAAAGAGTAAAGAGTGGGCTGGGCTGTGGCTCAGGGGTAGAGTGCTCACCTGGCGTGTGTGAGGCACTGGGTTCGATCCTCAGCACAACATAAAAATAAATAAATAAAGGTATGTGTCCACCTACAACCAAAAAAAATATTTAAAAAAGAAAAAAGAAAGAAAGAAAAGTAAAGAGGGAAAAACCAACCTGACTGTAAAACTTACTCTAAATGCACGGTAATTAAACATCTGTGATATCAGTGGATAAAGAGGATGGAATAGAGGGTATGAAAATTATCTTCAAACATACAGGAATTTAATCTATAATGAGAGTGGCATTTCATACCAGTGAGGAAAAGGTGAATTATTTATAAAATGGAGTTGGGACCAACAATCTGTCATGAGAAAACACAACTGGATCTCAATTTTACTCCATATGCCAATAAAATTCAAAATCAATCAGATTTAAACCACAACTAAATTGAAACCATAAAGCTCTTAAAGGGGATGAAAGAATAAATCTTCTAATCTCAAAATGGGGAAAGCATTCCTAAACATAATACAAAACTTAGAAATCCCTTTTTAAATTATAAAGCAGTCTCCTTAAGAATCTAAACTGGCCAGATACAGTGGCCCATGCCTGTAAGCCCAGTGACTTAGGAGGCTGAGGCAGGAGGATCCAAAGCTCAAGGCTGGCGCCTCAGCAACTTAGCAAGACCCTAAGGAACTTAGCGAGATGCTGTCTCAAAATAAAAAATGACCTGAGAAAAGGGCTCAGTGGTAAAGTGTCCCTGGGTTTAATCAGTACCAAAACAAACAAACAAACAGCCTGCAGGCTTGGTAAACATAAACAAATCCAGGGCTGGATGAAGCTCAAGGGCAGAAATAAATAGAAATAAATAAATAAGCAGCTGGGGATGTCGTATGAAAGGCCACTCAGCTAGCATGCTTGAGGCCCTGATTCCATCCCTAACACTACAAAAACATTCAAAATGGGAAAAATATTTGCACCTCATGGTAGACAAGAGTTTTTTTTCTTAACATAGAAGGATGGCTGCAAAATAAGAAAAGTGACTAGAGACAGTTTACAGAAAAAGCAAGCATCCCAAACGGCTCTCAGACACATTGGAGAGCTCAGCCTCATGAATTCAGATGGAGACTGCGCCAGCAGCAGCAGCAGCAGCATGTCCTTCTCGGGTGGGTACGGAACACTGCAGCCTGGACCATATGCCACACCACGAAACAAGCCTCAATAAATCTAAATCAGTGAAATCACACAACGTATGTTTCCCACCACGAGGGAAAGAAAGAAAGCAATAACAGAAAGAAATCTGGAGAATTACAAAGACGTGAAACTCAAACAACACGCTTCTCAGTGGTCAGTGAGTCAAAGAAGAGATCACAGAAAACCAGGAGCTTCTTTAAGATGAAAATAAAAACACAACATATTAAAATGAATGAGCAGGGCTGGGGCTGGGGCTCAGGGGTAGAGCGCTCGCCTGGCATGCACAGGGCACTGGGTTCGATCCTCAGCACCACATGAAGGTAAAATAAAGACATTGTGTCCACCTAAAACTAAAAAATAAATATTTAAAAAATAAATAAATAAAATAAAATGGATAAACAGTAAGAGAGAACTTTAAGAGAAATGCAGAGTGGTGAATTCTTATGTTCAATAAAAAAGAAGAGAGATCTCCAACCAGTAACCTGACCTTTCACCTTAAGACACTGGCAAAGAAAAACTAAGCCAAAGCAAATAAAGGGAAGGAAATAATAAAGATTAGAGATTGCTGAAGTAGAAAAACAATAGAGATAATSATCGAACCAAAGACTGGTTCTT